CACTTAGGAGAGCCGGTGTAAGCTACAGCACATGTGAGAATGTACATTTTTTCTCAAAAAAAAAAAAACCCTTTCGTTTACCAAGGGATCCTTTAGGCATGATTCATGGTCAGGCCTAGGGGCCGAAGCCCACAATCCCCTTACCCAGTCATGTTTTGGACTTTAGACTTGGGTTTAACGTCCGCAATCTGTACTCCACACTACACAGTCCCAACAACTGATTGCGCGTTTTCTTGGTGGTTCTCCCCGCCATGGTTGGAAACTTGGAATTGATGAAAAAGAAGACAGCAATAGTATTGTACTTTTAAAAAGTACCCCTTATTTTCCAATTTAGAAGTTTTATTTCCATTCAAGGATATATTTTGTACTTTAAATTGTAAGATAGTTTTTTGTTTAAAATTTTTGAAAGTATTTGTTTTGACGTTTTAAAATAATTTCAAATTATTAAATATCAATTATAAATTATCACAAATAATTTATCAATTTAAGTAAAAAAAAATTAATTTTTTACAAATAAAATCTTAAATTTTCTAATAAAAAAATAAACTTTAAAATTTTTTTTATTTTATAAGAATGAATTTATCAGTTATCGACATCATCCAAACCAAACCTTTGAAAATTTCTATGTTTACAGAATTGTATCCAATAAAATTGCTCCATATTGCTACGATATTCCCGCCAAGAGTGCATTTGAAAATTGAACTTCCATTTTCTGGCACTTTGAATTTAAATCTTCAAGTCTTCTCTCTTTCTCTCTCCTTCAGTTTTCACTTCTCCAAAAAAAATGGCGAAAGGAACAGTTGCTCCGACGAAGAAGAAAACCAAGGCGGCCGCCGATACCACGGATTCCCCTTCCGTCCTCCATCCTCCTTACTTTGAGGTCTTCAATTTTCCTCTTCAAACTCAGTAATTTCTAATTCCTCTGTTTTTTCTCCTCGCCAATCTTTCTATATCTGTTTGTTTCGTTCCTGCAGATGATAAGCGAAGCCATATCAACACTGAAGGAAAGGAGCGGATCGAGCCAGCAAGCGGTGGCAAAGTTCATCTCCGACAAGTACGGCGACGCTCTGCCTCCGAATTTCAAGAAGATGCTGTCAGTTCAGTTGAAGAAGTTTGTGAAATCCGAAAGGCTCGTCAAGATCAAGAACTCCTACAAGATTTCATCCACGGAAAAGCTCAAGTTGGAGATCAAAGAGGCGCGCGAGAGGAAGAACGTCGCCGCTGACAGTTCCGCCGTGCCTAAAGAAAAGGCTGGAAACAAAAACTCGGAGAAGAGTGTCAAGACAAAGAGGCTGAGTCAGGTTAACACCCCGGAGGCTCTCAAGAAAGTGAGGAAAGATGATAAAAAGCAGGATTCAGGGAAAAAGGTAAAGCGTTTGAGTCTGGTTAAGACACCGGAGGGATGGAGGAGGAAGAATTTGCAGTCTGGCCGCCGGAAGGAAGCCAAAAAGAAGGCCAAGAACTGAAGGTACGTATTACGTAATGAATATTTTAATGGTGGTTTTTGTTTATTTAATTTCTTGCTGTGGTTGTAATATGTTTTGTTTGTCTTTTTGTGTTAATTATGCCTAAATTTTATTACCTCGTTATATATTATGAGAAATCTTCCGTGCAAGGGGATACCACTAGTATCCTAACCAATAGAATGCTGAAGAAAACTCTACTTTTTTCAGGTTAGATTAGAAGTTTTTTTTTTTTTTTTTTTTTTTGTTATGAATTTTTATTAATAAGAATATAACGCCCTATAATTTTAAAATTAATCAATTTGAAGTTACGTAAAGTCTTATATATTTTACGAAAACCACACACCCATGACCATTGTTTTGTGATGATTAATTTGTAAAAATATTTAGGGAATGGTGTTTGTTAGCGAACTTTTGACCAATTAAAAGAAAAA